AAAAATGAAAACACAGTGATGCCTCTCCTAAAACCATCAACCTTCTCAGTGTTGGTTGTGCATTTTAATGTTTAATAATGATGCGGATAGGGACCTTGTGTGGGTTGCCCATGGTTAATTAGTATATTGAAGAAGCCTGGAATTGAATGTCTTAGGATTGTAGCAGATCCAAGAGGGAAAATCATGGTCTTTTGGCTCACAATCCAGTGAACATGGCAGTAGGGAAATTGACTGCATGAGTTTTTTTTTTTTTTTTTTTTTTTTTGTATAAATGAATAAAATTAATATTACATAATATATTTTTAAGCATATTTGAATGAGATCTTTTGAACGATACTCATATTAATATGTATTGAATCTTAGTGGATGCACTTGGTGGTATTTGTGTGTGCGTAGTTTTTGTAAGTGGGTTATGTTTATTGAATTCAAGGGTTGGTTAGGTGCAAGTTTGTGGTTTGGAGTGGTGGGGTTTTGTTTGCATGTTCGTGGGTAAATGAGTGCGTTTGCTATGCTTTATGCGTGCATAGTGTTGTTTAAATGTTACTTCACGTGCTTGTGCGTGTTTTTTGTTTGTGCAGCTAAAAATTCTAAGCGTGCTCAGTCAGATGCGGGTCCTTCGGGGATATCTGAGGATGATAGTGACTTTGTGTCGCCGCCTAGGCCAATCCGCCCGAGGATTCCGGTAGATCTGTCACAGGAGAACGCCCCTGATTGTGAACTCACCCCTGAGGAGGATGATTTGTATCCTACAGTAAAGATGAGGGCGCAGTCGGTGGTATTGGTTAATGCCCTGAAAGACTTGAGCTTTCAACAGAAGTCTGACATTCGGGAGCTCGGGTTTGGGGCGTTGTTGGACTTTGAGGTTGAGGATCTTCCTCCGCGGCTTCTGCGGTGGCTGCTGTATAATTTTGATAGCCAATCGAAGTCGTTTGATCTTGGGGGCGGGAGATCGTTGGTGGTAGATGAGAGTGATGTGGAGTTGATTTTGGGGTTTCCGCGTGGTCATATTGATATGGTTCAGCGGGATAGACGTAAGATCAGCAACACTTTGAAACACTGGAGGGGGTTATTCGAGAAGTCCAGGTACAGGGTTACCCCTTCGGAGATTAGTGTTAGGATGGTTGGTGCGGTGGATGGTGGCGTCTGGTTTAAGCGCCATTTTCTTATGTTGGTGCTCTCCACATTGGTTTCTTGTATGTGTAGCGGCTATGCAAACCAGATGTATTGGCATCATTTTGATGATGTGTCTAGCGTGCGTGACTTAAATTGGTGCAAGCTGGTGGTCGACACGTTGGTTGAGACGCAGTCTGCTTGGCGTTCGGGTCGGCATAAGTTCTTTATTGGGCCGGCTGAGTTTGTTACGGTATTCTTGGTGTAATTTTTTCTGTTTGGTGATTTCTGTTTTGTTTTTTCCCACTATGTCGGTACAATTAATTTTGTCATTATTTTTGGTTCTTTTTTCAGTTGTTTTATGTGGATCGTGTTGTGCATGGTGCGCGCTCTGTCCCCCGGTGTATTCCTGGTTTGTGTGGTTGGTCTTCACGTTTACTTCATGAACGGGAATTTTCCGAGATTCGTGGTGGCGGGTTTGGCCTTGGTATGATTGCGCCCCCCATGCTCAATCCGTCTTCAGATGCAGTTGATTATGGACCAAAGGTATGGGTTTTGTTGGTAGGCATTCATATATGTTTATGTTCTAGGGGTGCACACGGGCAAGTGTTGTTTGTGTGTGTCTTTATGGGTGGGTTTTATTTGATGTGTCATCCTCTTTTGTTGGGTTAGACATTCGCAGATGTTGTATTAGAAAGATCAAGGTTGTTTTCAAGAGATATTTTAGAGTTGGCAAAGCAGGGTCCCGTTGGTGCTTTTGATGGCGGGTTGCTTCGACAGGTGTTTGAGGTTGTAAAGGCTGTTGGAGAGGTGCGTTCTGATGAGCAGCCCGTTGTTTTTAATGATATTCTATCCTTTAGTCTAGGTATTACGCAAGATTTTCCTGATCGTGAGGGGGCTGATATTGGGGATGTGGTTCGTGGTTTGACTCCGGCCAATACTGGTCGTCCTTTTTCTGGTGTTGAGGTCAGTTTTGTTGGGTTACTTGTGTGCGTTCACATTGGTTTTGGTTTTGTTGGGTTATAACTCATTACTTTTTTTCACTCTATTCCTATTTGCTAGGGTGGTCCGATCCAAGAACATGGTGATGGCGATTCCATTGTGTGTGATATTGGGGCTCAGGGTGCTTGCCCGGGGGGTTCAGAGTTACCTGTGCATGTTGATGCTTCGTTATCTACGCCGGTTGAGCATGGTTTGGTATGTTTGTGTATAGAGGAATGGGATTTAAATTGGTATAAATGGATGGATTTGATGTGTGCATTCTTTTCATTGGGTTTTTTTTTTCAAAAATTCAGGTGCTTTGTTATTTGTTTATAGTAGGTGTGGGCATGCTTGCGAATTAATGGATGCATTTGTTGTATAAAGTTGTGTGGGTTGTTGTGTAGTAATGTTTTTGATGCGTGCGTGGATGTGTATAAATAGATGCACTCGCTGCAATTTTTGTCTGCTCAGTTTAAGTAGGTGGCATTTTTGTAGTTTGAATTCAAGACTTGGGTGTTGGTGCTGTCACTTCTCATGTTTAGCTATATACTCATAGTTGGTGTGATGGATTGAGCTTTTATGTGTGTGTGTGGGTGTGTATAAATGGTTGCACTTGCTTGCACTTATGGGTGCGTAGTTTAGGTGAGTGGCATGGTGTAATTTAAATTCAGAACTTGGTTGTTGATGCTCACACTTCTTTCTGTGCAGTCATCTGTTCGTGGGGGTGAGCCTAGCCGGTGTTGGTCTAACGGGCGTATTTGTCAAGCCCCTGTCAAACGGTCTAGGGGTGTTACTATCCCGCCGGATGCTTTGCCTTTGCAGTTGTCAAATCTGGATCTTGGGTTGCCACCTTTAGGCAATCCAGAGGAGTCGGTTATTTGCAACTGGTTGTTGTGTGTAGCTAAGGGGGACATGTTAGTTTCTGGAACCATTTCTTAATAGACATATTGTGTTGGTTATGTGTGTGTGATTGGTGTGTTTTTTTTATTACTTTTGTGTAGGGAGGAGATTTTGGTTGATGTGGGTGGTAGTGTGGCGCGGTGGGCGGACTTGATGTCTTTGGCACCCAGGTCTTTGGTTGAGGTTGGTGTTGTAGACGCATGTGCTTGTCTGTTAAATTGTCGGGAGCGGTATAAGGAACCGAATGCCCCTTCTCGTTTTTTTGCCTCCACTCTTTCCACGGTTTGTAATTGCATCTTTTTGTGGTATGATAGTTTGACATGTTTAGGTTTTTTTTTTTGTTGTGCTAATTTTACTCCTCTTGAAGCTTCATACTGTCGTGGATGCCTCCCTTGATCGGGATAAGCGGTTTGCGTTGTTCAAGGATAGGCTGCACGAGGAGTTTCAGGCGACGCCATATCGTTACATTTCTGAAGTTGATTTGGTATGAATTTTTTTGTTGTTCATGGCTTCTAGACTGCTTGTCCATCATATTCTGTGTGCATAGGGATTGAGTTTTGTGTCCGTTATTTTGGTTTTAAGGTGGTGCGTCGGTGTTTTTTTGCAGTTTATGTTCCCCATTCTACGTCAGAAACATTACTTCCTTATATGCGTTGATTTTCGAAAATTCCGGTGTGAGATAATTGACAATTCGACTCTTCAGCCTAATACGAAGCTGAAATATGGGGATTGCCCAGAGGATTTGGTATGTTATATATTTTGCACAGTTTGGTACTTTTTTTCCTCTTTGCGCTTTTCGGTTTTTGATGTCTGCAATCTGGGGGTGTCTTACAGTTGGGCATGCTAATGGAATTCTTTAGCACTATTCATCCGGTGAGGTCTTCGATGTGTGCGTGTTTGGAGCCAAAGCGTATGCAGATGAGTTGGCGGGATGGGAAGAATACGGTTGACTGCGGGGTCTATGTCATGCGTCATATGGAGTCTTACATGGGGTAGGGAGTGGCCAGATAGAGGTGTGGGCTTAGCAAAGGTAACGTTGGTCAGCTCAAGAAGTTAAGGTTACGCTACATGAATGAAATCGCAACATCAGAGTTCAATTTACTAAAGTCTGTGAATGTTGTTCGGGCGTATAAGTTTGTGTCATTGATCCCGTAGGTCCGTGTCTTTGGTGTCTTTAGTTTAATTGATATTAGTTCGTTGTTTTTGCCGTGGTATGCGTACCTTTTTGGGGTTTTTATGTAGCTACCATTGTTACTGTGTATGGGGGATTAAACCGGTATTTAGTTTGTTGGGTTCTCATTCTTTTTGCTAAGTAAGGGCTGCACCTGTGTAACCTCATGACGTTTGTTTATTCGCAGTTGGTTGTTTGTTTATTAGTGTTAAAATTATGTTATTAATTGCTTCTTGTTTAATTATATTTTGGTATCTCATTTGCTGGTGGGTTGCAGCTCTGTGTGTGTTTGGATGCACAGTGTTTTAACTTGGGGTGCATAGGTTAATGAATTATGCCTGGTTCTCTATTCATCTAAAGTACACAGAAGGCAGTAGGTCTATATTATCTAATGTGCGTGTGCAACTATTTAATTATCAAGTCATGGGTAAAAAAAAATGGGATACAATTAAACTCAAACGTGTAGTTTACTATTAGCTTATAGGGTTTACTAATTGAAAGTACGTGTGCGCAATGGCGGTTCTAAGTGGGCATATCTGTTCGTAATACATTGGGTTTCGTGGGTCCATTTAAATTTAATTGTATACGGCTATTGGTAAATAGGTGGGTGCACCTTGTCAAAAATGTGTTGTGAGTTTAATAAATTTCTCCGTAGTGAGTGTTTTGCTGTTAACTGGCTTACTAATAGAACGGGGGGGGGGGGGGGGGGGGGTGCACAGTGGTTGGAGACCGGGTGCATAGTGGAACAAATTAACTAGTTGACTATTAACGCGTAGGCTTAGTGCACAACTATTTAATTATAAAGCCATTTGTGAAAGTGGTATGAAATTAAACTCACCTAAGTAGTTTTCTATTAGCTTGTAGGGTTTTCTAATTGAAAGCGTGTGTATGAGCTAGCGGTTCGAAGTGTGCATGTCTGTTCGTAGTACATTAGTTTTCATGGGTAAAATTAAAAACGGTCCAGTTGAATTTAATTATATACGGTTATTGTTAAATTTGTGGGTGCACCTTGGGGTTAAATACTGTGCATGTCTGTTCGTAGTACATTAGTTTTCATGGGTAAAATTAAAAACGGTCCAGCTGAATTTAATTATATACGGTTATTGTTAAATTTGTGGGTGCACCTTAGGGTTAAATACTGTGTAGTCGCAACTGAAGGTGGCAAAGATGGGTATGAATTTAATAAAGTTCACCGTGGTGAGTATTTGGCTATTAACTCATAGGCGTAGTAATAAAACATATGGGTGCACAATGATGGTGGACCGGGTACACAGCAGAAGATATTAACTAGTTTACTATTAGCGCGTGGGCGTAGTGGTAAAACTGTGTGTACACGTTGGTGGTACACAGTGTGCATAGTTGAGCGAATCAAGTAGTTGACTATTACACTGTAGGTTTAGAAATAAAAACTGTTTGCACATTGATGGTAGTTAGTGTGCATAGCTGAACAAACGAACTAGTGATGGATAAAATTCTAATATTTGACAAGTATCTAATTCAACTTTAAATTGTGCTAGAATTCGTAGAATTTTAAACCACTGGAGGCTACTCGTCTGATATGTCTTTTCTTTCTGGACAATTCCGGCTGTCGTGGCCCGGTTGGTCACAAGTAGCACATGTCCTCACCTTTTTCTTCGTTCTTTCCATTGCTTTCTCTTTATTGCTCTTTAATCGTTTCCCGCTGCCCTTGTTTTTTGTAACATTGGGTAGCTTGATTTGGATCTCGGTAGGTGCAGTAGCGTTGACTATTGATTCAATCACTGATTGGTGGCTGGTGCTTGGGTTGGCTTGTTGCTTAGCACTCTTTAACTTCCCGTTTAGCTGCTGCATTGTTGTCAACATTAGAGCCATTTCATTTTCACTTCCATTAGCCAATCCCAAGCAGTTGTAGAATTCATTCCAGAGTTGGTTCGCAATTGATTTGAGTTCGTTCCCCCCTTGCGTATTAGGGCTGCCTTTCAACACAATATCATACATTGGCCGTGCACATGCGTCTCTTGTCCATCGGGGAATAATATAGTGTCCTGGTATTTCTTCGATGCCTTCGTCCTTGAAAATTGCCAGCACATGCTTACATAAGATTCCTACTCTGTTGAATTTGTTGCAACTGCATTATGTTTTGTGGGTAGCTTCTTGGTGTGTTACCTCATACAGTTTCGCACATGTTTCGTGTACAACGTACCTCCAGTTCCCGGCCTCAAGTGTCTTGTTGGTGATTTTGCATGTGAAACTTCCGGCCCATATTTCTTTTTGGAACTCGTAGAATATGTTGATGGTGTACAATGCCGCTGTTTGGCGTTCCATGCCCAACGGGGTTTTCGGTTCAGGGGTTGAACCTTCACAGTCTGCGTTCAACTTTGCCTGGTTATGCCTCTGTTCTTCTATGGCGCGGTTGTATTGCATCATAAACTCGACTAGGCTGCAGTGGTGATTGGTGAATTTTCCGAAATAACTGTTCTCCGATTCTGAACGTGATGTTGTTTTGAGTAGTCTTCCCATGAGTATATCTTGGAAATATGCGGGTATCCATGATGCACGTGTCTCGTACAATTGGTTAAACCACCTGTGCTCAACAAGGTTGTAATCTTGCATTACCTTTGCCCATTTCAATTCAAATTCGGTGGCACTTAAGGTTTCATCCCATACTGCATTGTTTAGGGCCTTTTTAAAGTCGATGTTCTTTGCCAGTGCAGGTCCTGCCTTGTCCCCGACTTTTGACATGATGTGCCACATACAGAACCGGTGTCTCGTTTCTGGCATAATGTTGGGTATTGCGACTTTTAGTGCCGGATCTTGATCTGTAATAGTACATCTTGGTGTATACCCCATCGCGGTTTTGAAGCTTTTTAATAACCACTCATACGACTCCACATCTTCTCTTGCAATGAGGCCCGCTCCAAATGTAATGCTTCGTTTATGGTTGTCCACTCCTGTGAACGGTACAAATACAAGCTTGTATCTGCATGGTGTATATTGTTTCTCAGTTAGTGCACAGACATATAATAGTAAAACAAGCCTCATTTTTTTTTGGCCTGCCCGGCAGACATATAATAGTAAAACTGCATGCATGCTGTTGTGCACTCACGAATACATAGGGGTACACATAAAACATCACAGTGTAATTAAGCATTGATTCGATCGCTTCAATTACCAGGGCTGGTGATCGGATCTCATGGTTTATATTGTGCATACAATGTTTAGCAGATGTGCACGCATGTGTGTTTGAGTACTAACACGTACTGGATAACAATTTCATTAAATTCAACTACTTTAATTGGAGTCATATGTACCTGTTCGTGCTGTACGTAGCGTCGAATGATATCACGTCGCCAAAATATGCAAAATTCTTCCGTGATATTACGTCAGCCCAAAACAACCGGCATAGTTGTCTATCTTCGTTTAGATCAAAATCGAAGTAGAAGTCTGGGTTGGCCTCTTTATTTTTGTACATTGTCTTCTACCACCATTTGTGCATCTGCTCCAGCAATATACGCCAACAAATCCCTTCTGAAGTTGCAGAAATCCGTGGATGTTGCCCCTATATCAGTAAAACTTCCTACCATTTCTTTGTATAGTCTCCAAGATTTGGTAGAACCAATGTTTGCCCTTGCACAGTTTGCTAGGAATATTTTGTGTCCAATATCCAACTTCCTTTTTATTTTCAAGAAGGGTCTCCCAATGACTGAGCATAGGCAGTGTGTGTGCCATAACTCCACTGCATGGACCGTATAATTGCCGGTCTTACACCTTGTTATCACAATTCGAGCCTTACAACCAACTCTTTTTGACACCCGCTTTCTTTTCTTTGGTTGTGTGGTGTTTACCATGTCGGTGGCTGTGTCACTGCCCTTCTTGGGGGGCTTGAATCCTTCCCGTGAGCATAACATGTATTTTATGTGAACTTTCCCTTTCCTATTCATGCGCATTGTTCCTTTTCTGATATCAAAACCGACAGTAATTGCGTATGACCGGTAGAAGGCTAGTCCGTCTTCTAGTGTTGCAAATTGTTGCCCTTCATACGTGGTGCATTCACTTTTGCAGGTGGGTAACCACCGTTTCGTTCCATCGGGTAATATGATCATTTCACAATCTGTTGCTTCTTCTTCAGTATGCTCTTTGCCTATAAATCAAAGGTGTGTTCCGTAAATATTAGTAGTATTTTTTGGCACTAGTAGTGCTGTTAGAATTGCGTATAATATAAATGTTAGAATCTGTGGGTGCATGCATGTTCAAACTACGGTACGTTGTGTGCATTTGAGACTAATAACGGGTGCACTCTATGAACACAACGCTACATTCCCTTCCATCACCCTTCCTGTAATCAGTCCATGATTTCTAGTACATACAGGGATAAATTATGGATGCAATTCCATCACATCTACTACGAGTACATACAGGGTTAAATTATTTACGTCTTGTGACTCCCAAAGTTTTATTCCAGTGCATTCAATTGTTTTTTTTCACGGATGAATCGATATGCACAATAATAGGGGTTCAACTATATGGTGTACTTACCTGGATTGGCGTCATCCATGGAGTCCAAGTTGGCATCATAATTTCGTTGGTCTTCGTCGGCCATGGTGTTTCCTCGCGCGTCCATGGAGTCTGTTTCTCACGTCGATGGGTGCACGGGGGATCGGTTCCGGTTGGGTGGTGTGTTTGTCGTTGCTGATTAACTATTGCATTCCTTGTAGTATTTGAATTCCTTAATTATAGGGTGTCATACGGGTTAGGAGTCGTTTCGGAGTAGGAGGTGTGTGTGCATTGTCAATATTACCCTTATTAATAATAATTAGTAGTCTGCGTCTCCCATCATAGGCTACATCTCATCCGTTCATCTTATTGCATCCTATGGCTAGTTCTTGTCCACACGTTTGTATTTTAAGAGTGTTTGCATTAGAATGGCACCCTATATATATATATATATATATATATATATATATATATATATATATATATATATATATATATATATATATATATATATATATATATATATATATATATATTCACACCGTGCAACGCACGGGTGGATTACTAGTAATAATAATAATAATAGCCAAACACGTTCAGATGACATGTAATGACCTCTCCCATGTGAGAGGGATAATTTTTTTTTTTTTAAATATAGATGAATTGCAATGTTTGTATCAGTGGTTTGGAACAAATAGTTGCTTCAAACTGTTGAATAACCGAAACACTTTCTTTAGCATTTTGATCTTTGGATTACATATATTTACCCATCGTCCAATATCTTTGGATTACACTATAATTAAAAAAATGTAAATTTTTACTACATCTAAATTCCTTAAATTAGAAATTTCTTTATCCATAATAATTTATTCAACAATAATGGTTGAACTAAATGCACTGAGCAAAACACCTAAAGGACTGGTACCGTTGATTCATTCATTGATCTTGTATATATGTGCATTCATTAAATATATTAGAACCATTTGCAACAAAAATACTTGGTTACTATTTAAAAAAAGTTTAGTAACAATTATAATGAATTTCCTATATTACATTGTATTCATATACTATGAATTACATATTTAAATAAACAAATTAGACATTAAATTACTTATGTTGAACCTATCAACATTTGAGTCTTCTCGTGCGGTTGTGCGGGTGGACGCACGTTAAGCATTAATCTGACGTACTTAAAGTACACAACACACGCACATTAAGCACACAAACAAAACACAACCTCACACATGTTAAGTACAAGTCTCACGCATGTTAAGCACAGGCCTCACGCATGTTAAGCACAGGCCTCACGCATGTTAAGCACAAAAATACACGCACCTTAAGTTTTAAAAACAACTCACATTAAGTACACACTCACGCACATTAAGTACAAAACTCACGCACCTTAAGCACACGACTCACGCACATTAAGCACAAAACTCACGCACATTAAGCATAAAACTCATGCACTTTAAAGTTTCAACAACAATTCACTTTAAGTACACACTCACGCACATTAAGCACAAAACTCACGCACATTACACACAAGACTCACGCACATTAAATACAAAACGCACGCACATTAAACATTACACACTCACGCACATTAAGCACAAATCTCACGCACATTAAGCACAAGACTCACGCACATTAAGTACAAAACTCGCGCACATTAATCACCCGCACAACTGCACGAGAAACACTTAAATGCACCTGAACATATATATATATATATATATATATATATATATATATATATATATATATATATATATATATATATATATTAGTGTGTGTAGAAAATAAAATTAAAAAATAGAGCACATTATTGTCAAATGAAGTTGTAGTATAATTAAAATGATACTTTAGTATTAATTACTATAATGAAACTAGTGTGCATGGAAAATTGTTGGCCCCGAAAAGGTTAGGGTAAGAATCTAGAGGGGGGTGAATAGATTCTTACAGATTTTTGAAAAACACTCGTGTATGATTCAATGAATCGTTACAGAGATGCACAACGGAAATAAGGATTCGGGTTACTTTGCACGATTTGTTTAGAAAAGCGATTGGCACAGGCAGTGAGATGAGATAATATGAATGCAATGCAGAGATAAAAACTAAAGAGAGAGAGATATTTTTATAGTCGTTCGACTGTTAACTAAGCCTACTCCACTCTACTTCACAACTCGTGAAGGTTTGCACTATCCCCTTAGTACAAAGTCACTCCAAGATTGTTCCTTGACACTAAGATGGACACAATCTTGAGCTAGGTTTTTCGACTACACTTAGTCTATAGTCTACTCCGCCTCTATCTACTCTTCACGTATCGAAAAGATGTGTTGATGTATCTTTTCGTCCAATTGAAAACTTGGCTGAAAGCTGAGTGGAGAAGCTGGAGCTACTCAAGTTTTCTTCAAATCTGGATATGAAATATGAAACCTTTTTCTCTTTCTCTCACTAGATCTTGATTGTAACAACTTTTAAGCAGATGTAGTATTGTGTCGTGCCTTCCTAGGCTGATGAGAGATGCCTTTTATAGAAGAAAATTTGTTCTGTTGGAAGAGAGAACAAATTTTGGAACACTCTATGATTCAGTGGGTAAAGTCCTTGAGGTAACGAAGACATGTGAGATGTCAGTAATATAGCCGTTATTTCGAGAGGTGTGAGCACAACTGTTTTGTCTCACGTCTCTTCATAAGGCTTTTCATCACTTAGGGATTTGTTCCTCGGACTCCTTTTTCATTTACGAGTGGGGATCTGTGCAAATAGTGTTAGACTGTTCAAAAGATGAGAGCATGAGCAGTCTACACGAATCCTTATGGAGGATTTGAGTGAACATGTGACTAGTTGTCTTTACTTAGTCACTTCTGATGCTAAACGATATCTCTTTAATCATTTACCTCTTGATGTAATCAAAAGGTGGATCCTTCCATTATTCAATCACTTGTAACCTTTTGGTCTTCATTTGTCCTATTCTAAACTAAAAGAGAGCTAGTTTCTATTGATCAAAACATTCTGCTATTTTCTAGACTCTGAGTTCACAGCATAAGTGACTCGGGTCACAAACAAATAAACCTTGAATGTATGAAGGGCTCAATTTGGTATCATCAAAATCTAATTACAAAATGTTCCTAACAAAAATGAAACTAAAATTCAGACCCATACAATAACATATATTGTCAAATGACCTGAAGTGCAATTAAAATAAAACTTCAACATTACTATAATTAAACTAGTGTGTGTGTGAAAAATGAAAAACAATAAAATAAAGCTCAAGTAATAATTTATATTATCAAATGAAACTATAGTAAAATTAAAATAATACTTTAGTATTGTTATAATGAAATTAGTGTTGAAGGAAAATAAAACTAAAAAACATATCAATATTGTCAAATGAAAATAAAGTATAATTAAAATTAGGGAAAATGGCGAGTTTGGTCCCTGAGTTATATTGGTAGTGACGACTCAGTCTCTGAGTTATTACCGTATCCACTTTTAGTCCCTCAGTTAGGAGCGAAGTGGCGCATTTGATCCCTGACCGTTAAAACTGACGAAAAAATTAAAAAATATTTAAAATTTTAGGGGTAAAGTAGGAAATTCACATTTTATTCACTTTCTTATATTGAAACCACTTTGTAACATTATTTTCAACTTCCAAGCATTCTATTTCAAGGTTCTTCAATTCCAAAAGCAATTCAATAATCTTCGTATAACTTGTTAGTAACCTGAGTCTCGGAACCTGTGACTCAGTACAAACAAGAGAATACTTGATCATTGTCTTCAAGCGTGTAAAATACATCATCTTAAAAGTTTATTATTTCCCTTACTAAACATAATGGTAATCAAAACATAACTTTTGAAATACAAGAAGATATCAAATTTCTCAGGTTATTTTTATGACAAATTCACCAAGGGAGTAACTTTGATATTTTTAGTACGTAAAATTCTTTCGTAAGCTCTGCAGTAACTTAATCAAGAATCGTATATCCTGACAATATATGAAAATTATATTATATATATATCCATCACCTCCTCTGTCTTCTTAAAAACCAGAGTAGTGAATGAGGAACCTAAGACTCAGTTATGAAAACTCTAAAAACTTGTGTAACTTCTAAAAATGATTATTGACTAAACTACTGCATATGAAAAAATTTTACATACTAAAAATCTCAAGTTATTCCGTTGGTGAATTTCTCATAAAAGCAACCTGAGAAATTTGACATCATTTTGTATCTCAAAAGTTCTTGTTTGATTACCTTTGTTGCTTAGTAAAGAAAATTGAAAATTGATAGGATAGTGTGTTTCACACGTCTGAAGACAATGATCAAGTGTTTCTTTGTTTGCGATAAGTCTTAAGTTTGTTATACGAGAGCCAGGTTCCTAACAAGTCATATTAAAGTTATTGAAATGCTTTTAGAATTGAACAATCTTGAAATAAGGGGATAAGAAGTGAAAAAATAATGTTGCGAATGTGGTTTAGATATAGGAATGAGAATAAAATGTGAATTTCCTACTTTACCCCTCAAATTTTAAATATTTTTTAATTTTTTCCGTCAATTTTAACGGCGGGGGACCAAATGTGCCACTTCGTTTATAACTAAGGGACTAAAATGGATACGGTCATAACTCAGGGACCAAAGATGCAATTTTCCCTAAAATTATACATACTTCATAGTCCATAGATAGTTATGATGTGGAAACGTGTTCACCATGCGCATGGTGAACACATGGGTAGATCCATAATTTCTATACTGTAGATTCATAATTTTTTTTTTTTTGAAAACGTAGATTCATAATTTTGTTTTTCATTTGTTGTTAACGGGATAGATCCATAATTTCTATACTGTAGATTCATAACTTCTATACTGTAGATTCATAACATCTATACTGTAAATTCATAATTTCTATAATATAGATTCATAATTTCTGTACTGTAGATTCATAATTTCTATACTATAGATTTATAATTTCTATACTGTAGATTCATAATTTCTATACTGTAGATTCATAATATCTGTAACAACAAATGAAAAACAAAATTATGAATCTACGTTTTCAAAAATAAAAATAAAAATTATGAATCTACAGTATAGAAATTATGAATCTACCCCTGTGTTCATCATGCGCATGGTGAACACGTTTCATAATTTGCGAGAATTTGCGAATCGTTATACCCTGCACCACGGCGCACAGTGCACTGTGCGCCCCGCGCCTCCCAAAACGACGTCGTCTTGGGAGGCGCGGTAGGAAGTTGACATGATTATGTATATTTGTTTATACAATTATGTATATTTTTTATTATGTATATTTTTTATACAATTATGTACTTTTTATACAATTATGTACATCTGAATCAGGAAATTTTTGTGTATTATGTTAAGAGTTGATGTGTATTATGTTAAAAGTTTATGTTTATTATGTATTATGTTAGATTATGTGTATTATCTTTTAAAAAAGAGTGTGTATTTTGTTATATAACTAGTATTTGTCCCGTGCGATGCACGAAAAATATGTTATAAAATATACCCCATATGAGGTTTATTCATATATAAAATTTTTGTTATTTAATAATTATTATGTGTGAATTCCTATGATAAAATTATGAACATAAATATATTTACAATTAAAATAATATTTAAGGTGGGTGATTACTACAAATCTTAAACTATATTAAAAATTTAGTACATAGTATTTAATATTACAAATTTTTAAGAATTTAGTAAACTACAATAGTAATTGAATTACAATTTTAGAGTCACCACGGGTCAAAATGTTTAGACCTTTGAGATTTCTAACTCTAGATGTAGCAACATACAATTGACCTTTAAAGACCAAAATCACAATCTTAGTTCGAACATTGATTTTTTCTTCCAAATACTATCGAATTAAGTGTGTAATCAATAAAAGATGAGAACTAATAATTCGAGAATATAATCTTAATGTTACTAAGCCTACTTCACGTCAATTAAGTTGGAGAGTGTTGTTGGATAGTATCCGATGAATTCACGAATAACGCATCTTTATCTCCGTAGTCCTCAATATGCACATCAACAATCTTAAATATTAGGCCGCCTAGCTATGCAATATATTAATTTCAAACTTATGAACTTTGAGATTGCATGCAATAAAAAGTATATTTTAAATATACTAAGGGTACATTATATATGTATGTAAGGTACTTCCAATATAAAAATAATATATTTTTAATATATTAAAAATGTATTTGATATTCATGATCCATACAATTATGTGGACCATCGTTCACACAATAATTTGCCAGTAGAAATTGATATATATATATATATATATATATATATATATATTAGAAACTGTCAGTGGAAATTATTATCATTATTATTATTATTATTATTATTATTATTATTATTATTATTATTATTATTATTATTATTATTGTTATTGTTATTGTTATTATAATTAACAATATTATTATAGTCTTGTGAAAATTAAATGTTGATTATCACCATTTAATTTTCACAAGACCATATGGCTTTATTATATATAGGATTATGTACATTCATGTATACAATTATGTGTATTCTAGTATAACATTATGTACATTTTTGAACATGAAATTTTTTTAAGAAAAATTAACTGCCGAACACTGGGTAGCAAAATTTCAAAAAAAAAAAAATTTAAACGACGTCGTTTTACATCTGGGGGCACAATGCAACGCCGTGGTGCATGATATAAATTGCCCATGGAAATGGTTCACAGTAAAATATGGGGCTTTAGATCCCGGAAATTAACGGCCCAAAAGTTTTCTGGACGTGTCTATGAAACAGGCCCATTTATAGATAGTTTTTATACCAAATTCCCAAACTCGACGCACATTTCTAAATTCAATACGTTCAAACGATCAAAACAGGAACTCAGGAAGTCATAATCAACGTTCAAAGTTTTGTTTCATCAGTAAGTCGGGGTATCACTTCGTCACGGATTCAGCTTCAATGTTCTGCATTTAAGTTCGATTTTCAGAAATCTTAGCTGCAGGATCGACAATTCTGCAAATGAAGCTGAAGATCAACAAAGCTTGTGATCTGAGCTCAATTTCCGTTCTTCCTCCTCATGCTAGGTTCAATTCTACTCCAATTCACTTCATATTTATGGTGTTTGTGTTTATTCTGTGCCTGTGCATGTTGATAATACCTCGAACCAGCTGTTTGTTGCATGTTGATCATACCTCAAACCAGCTGTTTGTTGATAGTGTAGGCATTATGGAAAATGGGATGATATAATTGCAGTATCGTGATTTAGAGGACTGTGCTTTCGTGAATGAATGAGTATGTGATCGTTTACTGATTATAGAAAGTTAAACTTTGTTTTCGTGTGTTGAGAAGGAGAACGAGCGTTGGGCCGAGCGGAACAGAGTCCTCAGTTTTTGGAAAAAGCCAAGCGTCGCAGCTGCGATCGCAGCAGTCGTTCTCTCAAGGATTTTCGTCTCAGCTCGGAATTTTCTCGCAGCTTTCGCAGAACTCCCCAGATGAGATTGTCACTTATGAGCAGGTTCTCTCATTCGCTCTCTGGATCTTACGTTTGCGAAGAGTTTATGTGAACAAATTGGCAATCGACTTCAAGCAAAATATAATTTGTGCTGGTTAATTTGTCAAAATTGATGCCAATGATTTATTATTCACATTTTCTAACTGTTAATAGTTTATTTTAAATTGTTTAATGCACCTTTTTTATTCTTCCAATATTGGACTATTGGAGTACTTTTACTCTCACCTGTGCCTATTGCTTTGAGGTTTCATCAATCCTCATGGTTCTACTATTCTGCTACTGCATGATGACAAAAGTGGAAATTTATATGGTTTTGATTCATAAGATGGAATACAGTTTAGTAATTTTGCACCAACATTTTAGTTTATAGATATCATACTTTACTTTCTAAGCTATTTTTGCAGGAATTATTCTGACATATGATTATGTAGGCAAAGCATCACTTAACTTCTAATGGATTATTTCTAGTGCTGAGCTTATTATAAAATATCTAAAATATACAAATATCTGATTTTTGTTGAATTTTTTCATTCCAGATCAAAAACTAAAGACTGTTTTCTTTGTACTATAATATAATAGAGACTAGGTTCTCAAGAAAGGGAGAATTCAGCGAAGAAAACTTCCTTCTTCCCTCCAAACAATTGTGATAGAGAAGAGAGTCAAATGCAGTTATCAAGAACTCCAACCAATTTAATGCACAAGTGGTCTATCCCTGAATACAAATGTATGCTACACTTTTCCATTGACCTAGTACCATCAGCTTGTTTTTAATTTGATGCTTGCAAGTTTAATCTTAAACAGTAACATGAAGGAAGGTTCATGTTATGCTAAATTTTGAAACTTTCTAGATATTCTGAGTCTGTTGATCTTTGATTTTATTTCAAAACCAGTAATTAAATGTATTAACTTGCCTCTTAATTGTGCCTTTAATAGCCCAGATGAGCCAAGAACTTGAACACAGAATTGGAGTGATGGAAACTTCATTAAGTAGATTGGGAATGATCCTTGACTCCTACCAGAATGACATTATGCAAGTAAATAGAGGAACAAAGGAAATATTATTGGAATGTAAGCATTCAAAATCCTTGATCTGGATGAATAGTTACATGAATTTCAAAGAGGCCCCTTA